TTTCCTGTATACGTTAAAAAATACTATACACTTTATGCGATCAAATAAATTCCTCCTCTCCTTGCTATTAAGTTCTCAATTGAATTTATCGAATCCTAAAGAACTAATTTTCATTACTTTCAAAAAAACATCCAATAATATATTACAATTCAGAGCTCCTTCCCCCCCCTCCCTTGCCTCTAAAAGCGCGATATCGATACATACGATGTGATATAAATTGTCGGATACGAAGGAATTTCATTAAATACCCGCGTGTCGTGGCGACGATCTCGCGTACCTAATGTCGCTACGACGTCTATTCCGTGTTATCACAGGGTGTAATCCTAAACATACCCCTGTCGCTGAGTATTAATGAACGATGACACGAGGGGAACATTAATCTTTCGGGGATTCGTAATCCCAGCACAACCCGCGCGATATCTAAAAGCGAGAATCGTGCACGGTCTCTGATAAACGAGCGTGATTACAGATCCACGGGGTCCGTTTCTGGAACACACGCGCCCCCACGTCGCACGCGCGGCACGCGTGGGCGGTGGGAAATATCATCGCCGACGATTAAACGAAACACCAAGGCTTTTGCCCCTTCTTAGAGTTGGGATTACAACGAATTTCCATTCTTCTTGAAAACCGGCATTCTCTTTGGGGAAATGAAGAATGCCACCTGGCAATAAATCGATGTGGCAATTTGTAGGCATTTCTTGCCACGGCCGGGAGTTATCCTGGCAAAAATGACCGCGTGAATGGGTATTGTCAAGTTGAGTGAAAGGTACGTCTGTCTGTGGTAACCACATGTGGTAAATTGATAATTTTATATGCCTGCTTGGAAATTACTATTAAATCGGTTGTCTGTAAAAATTGCCGGCCATTTCTAAACAGTTTATGGGTAAATGTTTATGGGAACCCAGTAGGTTGACCCAGTAGCCCAGTAGTAAGTGTAATCGAAGGTAAGGGGAAGCGGAGTGGGGAGGTCGATAAGGAGATCGCGCCCTCTCCGCGTGAGGGTTTCATCGCCGGTGCGAAGGTGAGACGCCGCGTTTTCCCTCCACGTGGGTAATTTATCGTTACTATTAAAATATTGCCCGCTCGTCGTCGCGGTGGGCATACGTTATGGCCGAATATAACCATTTCTATGGGTGCACCGTGGCGTCCAACGTGATTTACAGTGCCCGGCGAGTTATGACGCGACGTGCCCACACTCGCGTTCTCACTACGCTTCGTTCTCGTGCGGTCGACTTCTTCCCGAGCATTCCCAAGGCTTCTTGTCAATCGACAACTCCCTTCAACTTGGGAATTTCAATCTTGCCCGTTCGTATAAAATCGTAAATAATCGAGGAATTTGAGAATTGATCTTAGTCGCATATAAGAAAATTAAATTAAACGCGCATATATGATAAATTTTGTATAAATAATAAAAGTGAAATAAAATTTGTAAAAAAAAAACATATTTCTAACTTTGTTTAAAGAGGACGCAGAAAGATGTTAAAATATTATGATGTTAAACATCTTTTTTGCACGTGGAGAAATTTAATTTGCAAAGACACATTGATGTATCGTATCGATTATTCGTTTAATTAGTCTTCCAGGAAGGATAAGTAAAAAATAAAAATGAAATAAAAAGTTACTGGTATATTAAAATGATTATACGAGAGGAAGAATAAATTTTTCGATAAAATTGGATTAAGGAAAAGAAGGTACACGAGTCGGACATCGATCGACAGCGATCCACCGTGAATCGTCGGGCATCGTTACGCGTGCGTTCTCGAATACGAAAGGGTAAAATACGGCCCAATAAAAGGGCAGTTTGACACAGTCCCCTGAACACTGGCTGCCCATTGTTCGGAAGAACGGAACGATCACGACCGCAAAGTTGGCCCGTTCTCTGGCGTGCCACAGCAGTTAACGCGAAGAGGGACGAGCGAAGGGAATAAGAAACTTCCAAGACTTTTTCACGCCCGGTTTCCGTGCATCGTAAAATCGATCTTGAAACCAGCCAGCACACTCGTGCTCGCCGTGTTCCAACAAATTCGTACGTCCTTTCGAAGAATTACTCATCCCACCGAAGGGAAACGGAACCTAACCTCGAACCATACAAATCCATTATTCCTATCTACTCTCAACTATCACGATTTCAACTCTCAACTTTCTCCCCTCCTACGAAATTTAATTTTCACAAATTCTCGATCGATTTCTACCTCGTTTTTTCTCGTCCGCGTTACGTTAATCGAGATCTAAGGGAGCACAAACGGAAAATGAAATGAGGGCCTCTCGAGGAGCCGTAAAATCGTCCTATGAACGACGAGAATTCCGCGTGGCATCAATGACATTTGGACAGTTAACGTCAAGATTATTGACGCCTGGTTGAATTCCGTTGGGAGGACGGGGGACGAACGATTTCACTCGAACCTCGAACGGGTTCCGCGACGTGGACGCGCAACAACGGCTGTCGTCAACGGGGTGACGAGTTTTCACCTTTAGTGTCAATAAATATGGTGAAAGCGCGCGGCTCAACTCGGTGCCGATAAGAGCTTTTTTCGCGACCTCCCAATAAATTTCCTTGACGTTGATCGCGCCGCGTGCCATAATATGATCGTTTACCGTACATCGACAGCCCAGAACGTTCCCACTCCTTTGAATACTTCAATTTGGCCAACATACGCCGTTCTTGTCGCCGTCAATGCAAGATTCACTGCCCGCGTGGCGAATAAAAGACCTCGGTACTTGTAACCCCCTTTGACTCGAATTTCGTGCCTCGGTGCTTGTCCCTTGTGCCAAACTGCTTTACGATATCTCACCCAGTCGTTTCGGGGTCTTTTGGGGATTGTTTACTGGCGAAAGTTTGGCATCATTCCGCTTTTTAAGGAAATTTCGTGTGGGTTATTCTATAATGAGGACCTTCATCTTCGATAAGATCGTAATTCGATCACTGAATTGCAGCATAATTATTGCAAAGGATTTTGTTCGCGTTTATGTAATAGTAAAATCAATTTCTGGGACATAAAATCCTAGAAATCTGTAGAAATCTATCTAGTATGAAGCGAATTCTTAGAATAATATATTTTCAATCTCGATGAACGAAATTTTGATTACTAACTTCTTGAATTTAATAACTACTTTTCTGAAACTAATTCTATTCTAATGGATACCAAAAAGAAAAAAAAATTCTAACCTAACCTAACCGATTCTACTTTCTACAATCTATCTTATCAATCCTAAACGCGATTAACTATCGGATTATAAATCTGTATTTTCCCTCAAAACTCGCTCCAAACGAATTCTCCGAAACGATAGCAAGAGATTTCTACAAAATTCATCCCTAATATCGATATCGATGTCTACTGTTCCTTCTAATTCTAATGTTCTCTTCGCGCGGAATTTCGAAAATCCGCGTCCATTAACCGCGTTTTGTCGAAAGATATGCGCGTAGAGATCGACGATCGATCGATCGCACCACGATATCCCCGTGTTACGAATCCTGCCAATCACGGCCAATGTAATCGATATCGAGCCTAGAGGTGGGTATCGAGTCGATACGATCGACTCCGCCCCGGGCGTGTCGCCGGCCTGGACGATTTATAATGTTAATATCCCGGAGCCAGGTTCCACGCTTTTCTCCCGTCCTTTCTCCTTCCTATTCGTTTTATTTTACTTTTTTTATATACCGTGTCTTTCTTGCGCGGGAACGAGAGAGAGGAAACGGCCAATCATTCCGTGTATCTCGAGTTTGGATTAACAAGAGATGATATTGGATGGATCGAGCTCATAATAATTAAAGGATCTTCATATAATTAAACGAGAATTATAATCAGGTCTCATTTCATATCGAGTAGTACATAATAAATTGTTTTTAATTGTATTTAATTTATGAGATATTATTTATGAGATATAAGATGTTATTTATATGAAGATCGATATATATATTTCTTTCCTTTTTTGAATATATAAATAAGAAAGTATTGGATATTGTTATAAAATCGTATATTATTTAAATTTAAAATTATTAAAATTCTATTCTATAAGAAAATAAACGAATTGTAGTCTTAAAATAATATAATATTTATTAAATTATAAATATTATATCATTTTTAGACAAGAAAATGTAATATTTCGATATTTATAAATGTTTGAAAATGTTATACAATATGTGCATGCAATCCTATTTCATAAAATTCAATTCGAATTAACGCGCCATATTTGGGATAAGTGGCGCTGTAAAGGAAGTGACGTCATTTGTATTGCGATGTAATTTTACATAATACGATTACAATGGATAAATTCGTACGAATGATAATTTATTAAATATAATAAAATTTGATGATTATATTGCGATAATCGATCAAATAAATTGAATTTTCTCGATATTATAGTCGATAACGTGGTTTCGTAATGATACCTTCGTCGGTAAGTGTCTCGAATTATTATACGTATCGTCGAGAATATATTTCGATATATATTTAACATACCTGTACGTTGTATTCGTATTACGAAGAATCGAAGCCCCAGGCAATGAAAATATACGCCACAATTAAGCTGCTCCTGACCTTTCTTCTATTTATTTTCGTTCGAACGCGAATGACGCAATTCTTCTATTCGAGCTCTTCGCAGAGAACGATGATTCACGAACACGTATTGTCCTTTTCCGACGTTATATTCCGAAACTTTATCACGATTCTGAGTCTCTGTATCACGTATCACTAAAAGAATCACAAAATAAATCACGAAATGTCCACATACTTCAATTAATTGAATTATTTCGATCAAAAATTACGTACCAATACTGATGCTGTCCCGTCTCGACGACGTATCCCGCGAATTTCCTGCGCGTTCCCATGCGCAGAGCGTTCAACTTCAACCTGATGCGCAGTAGTCTTCTGCACATTCAGTAAAATTTCGTGTCACCGAGAGAGGACCACGTCGGAATTTTTATAACACATTATTCATATTATTTGTACATTTTTGTACGCAAATAATGGTGAGATTAGCATAATATCACGTTATAACATCCCGTATTGTTCGTCGTGATCGCGTAAGTGAACGATAAGCGATAATAACAGTGATCATGTACGAAAGCATCGACGAAAAATTTTCTAACCGTACGTATGACCACCATATTTGTTTTTCTCACGGTTCAAAGTGACTTGCAAATGTCCTGATACAAGTACACTTGTCGGTGACTCAATAGTGTAACGCTTTTTTAGTCGACCTACCTCGAGCTCGATGAATGTTTATCCGCATGTTGAACTGTGCTGGAAACTCTCGTTCGACCTCCACTTCGGAAGCCACTTCAGGATGCTGTACCGAAGAATGGAACACCGACGAAGGAATCTCTGAAAGGATGAAGAGCTCTAAATTCGAGCTAATAGTCGCAGAACGCGGTGGGCGGTATGCTGAGTTCCAGATTCTTCAAGGGCAAAGATACAACGGAATACAAGGTAGGATTTTATATCCATTTCAAGCTTAATTATTTAAATTATATTTTTATCGGCGATATCTTATAAACTATAGAGCAATTTAGAAAAAAATAGACATTAGTTAAGGTAGTGCTGCCGCGCACGTATCGTTTTTGAACTAATAATATTCTATTTTTTAATAATGACTTTCTAATTTTAAAATAAATGATAAAATGTAGGATTTTTCTTCCACAATTTTATAATTTTATATTGAATATCATCTCAGTCATTTAATAATCATCTCTATTGAAGAAAATTTAATTATATAAGAGAATTTTATTAATATATAATTCACGAATAAAATTATATATTTATAAAATTCAGTAACGTTAATTTTTTTAATTACTGAACTTGATATTATTGGGAGAATTTATTAGAACGTATTAGAATAGAACGTAGCTAATAAAAATTAATAAAATGCAACAAGATCCTGATTTTTTTTTCCATCTATTATCCTAACCTATAACGATTTACCATTATATTATAAAAATGATTTCGCGTGCGATTACGAATATTTATGAGTTCATGTGCAATTTTATCACGATATTTCATCCACGATCGTTTCAATGCCAAATTAAAAACCAATAACTCAAAAGCGAGGAGGTTTAGGAAAATAAATCCACCGGAGGGCAACCAAACTTATGCATGTGTTGGAAGTAGGTTACACGTGCAACGCATCGTCAATAATGTATGAACATAAATTCTACCCTATTACTTTCCATGCCTGCGGTACTTTATCTTGTTATGAAACACAACCCTGATCTTACCGTGCAATAATACATCACCCGCATAATATCTCCCGGGGTAGCTTCTTTATAACCGATTCTCACGTACAGGTAGACACATTCAAAAAGAGATAGATCTCCGTTCGCGAGTTAAAATTCACCGTTAAGAAGCTTCGTAATTCGTAATCAGGAAAAAATAAGGACATTTACAAGACCGAGTCGTAGCTTAGCTTCGCGAGACGTCGTTTGCTCACCATCCATACCTATATTTCTGCGCAAATGCGAATCGTTGAGCCTAGGGTCGAGTTCAAGCTTCTTTCGAAGAAACCAGCGTTAATAACAAAACGATCGGTGCGACGTAAGGGAGGGATTGGCAAAAGGAAAGGGTAGTTTCGTTCGTTGTAAACGGTAAATTAGCATTATAGTCGCATTACCGATGTTGTGACGCCACTTTACACGCGTACAGATCATCCGTGACAAGTCCCTACGCGTAGGATCAGCTCATTCTAACTCTGATTTATGCCATGAATCGTGACTCACGACGCCAATATATATATATATATATATACCGTTTATTCGTTATCCTGGTGAACCAAGTTTAGTGATTTACAATATCATCAGGATTTCTTGAACGATGGTTCTCGATTCTATTTTATTGATATCTTCTTAGATATTTTAAGATTTAATAAACAGATATTTTTCAAAATTCTAATCTGGATATCGATATCGATACTTCATTATCATACGGTATTAATTTTTAACGAGTCTATATAAACTCGTGCATTTATTAAATCTTTTTTAGGATAAAATATTAATTATTATCAATCGTTCAATAATTCTTTTTTTTTTTCTTTTTAACAAATCTACTTGAAAAATTCATATTCTTTTCTCTCTCTCTCCTCTCATTTACGATTCTCTTCACGTCTATCGCGAGATACACTTTGTCCTTCTTAAAATAAATAGACGGTCTATTGCGATTTACATTGACACATATCGCGCAAACGTGACTTTCGATACTTTGTCGATTCGTGGAACGGAAAAAAAAAAAAAGAAGGGATTCCGCGGAGGCGGCGACGAACAACA